GCGCAGAATTTGAAACATTCTCTTTCTCGGCTACGTTTAATCCTTCGTCTGACAACTTCTTCTTGTACCTTAATTGATACAAAAATATATAATGACTATACAGGATAGAAAACCGTTCGAAATTGTGCTTCCGGAGAAAGTGACCAACCCAGGATGTAGGACAATCTTTATCAAAAAGTCTTTTCTCTGATCTGCACTTCTGTGTGGCCTAAGTTCTCGAAATATACACTAACCACTGAAAATAGTATCAACCTGTTCTTCGGTTAATCCTTCGTCTAGGTATCTATCACTACAAGTGAAAAAACTATCTCTGGCCTGAAAAATTGAATGAAATTTGTTCTGACCAGTGAACTAACTATGTAGCAACGTTCTCTGTCCACTTTAAGAGCCTGCCCGGGCTCAGACATGTAGAAATTCTGAAAAGTGCGACATAGAAACTATAACGAAAAGTCAGCGGTAGGATTGTATCATGACATTATACATTTCAGTTGGAAACAGTAGTGAAGGTCGATGTCAATTATTTAATGAGATCACAATGCCACGTAACAAATTATGAACAGTTTGAAAGTTTAAAGAGTTTGCTCATACATGAGCATTCTTAAACTCAGTAAATTAAAGAGGCTCTCCTTGCTCTGCTCTGAGATCTCCTTCATCAATAATGAATGTATCTTCTGTGCATCGGCCAGCAATAATTATGGATAGGAAGGTAATGATACAGCCAGTTATGAACAGATACATCTCAAACGATCTGAAAAAGGAATCCTCCGCTCGAACTCAATAAAATTACTCACTTTTTTTGTACTAAAAACAGTCTTAGATCATCCAACTCATAAACAGATTCCGTCCAAGTAGAGTAAGTTGAGTTTTTAAAATCATAGCCTGCAACGTATTTTTGCAGAATTAGCCATGTTTCCTACCTTCTATTAAAAATGCTGGAGATATGGCCTCATCAAGATAAACACTATGACGATAACAATGGCCTGTATCCGTTAAAGGATCAGTCATCCATTGGAAGTTATAAAACTGTAAATTGAGGTTTTTTTCTAAGTATTTGGATGCAAGTACCTTTTGTACTCTGGCGAGGTCTGAACACTGCTTTGCATCTTTCACGTTTCGTGTATGAGCAGTCGTACCAGAAGCATACATTAGTAAAGAGTGAGAAAACGTTTGCAAGATATTCGCATCTCCTACTCCAATATAGGTACTTTTAATATTGAAATTTGCTAGAACATTTAAATTGCAAAAAAAGTCAAGAAATCGCTGCATACTTATAAACTTGTTGCCTCTGAGGGTATCCAAAAATTGACAGTTGAACGTATTATTGAAAGGAACGAAGCAGTTGAAGATGGTTGATATCTGAACAAGAACATCTTTATGCAAGGCTCAGTTTTCTGCTTACGAAATTATCATCAACAGTCAATGAACTCTTAGCAGACTCATTTAAACCGACAAAATCAGCTGCAGCTCTTAATATAGAGGAAGCAGCTACTGCAATTTGTTCCATTGCACTATGAGTTTGCTCCTTAGTCCAAGTGTTAGTATCGAGCATACTGTTTATCCGTCTGGAATCCAATGTTAACAGAGAAATAAATGCCATTTTTCTAACGAGTATTGATATCCGGTCGTGAAAGGAGCTAACACAACCCCAACAGCTTTTGGGTTAATCTTTTTGAGCGGGTGCCATGATGAAGGTGGCATTCGAGAATTTTGAACAGGAGGGTTGATAGTAGTATTCCGAGCACGTGCTCCTCGTCTCAGAGATTTTACAATAGTTTTTACCTCCAAGAGAACTTTATATTATTTTTAGTTAATATGCCAAACCATTTCTGATTTCAACTGATTGCTATCCGCTATAATATTCAACTCATGGCCAGATCCCATATGCTGAGGCTCAATCACAGCAACTATGCTTTCCGGGGAAACCTAACAAAGTTTTTACAAAAATTTCTCGTTTTTTTTCAACCTGCTCAAACAAGGCGTTTTTATCGTCATCGTGAGGAAAACGGTTGTTTTCAATATCGAAGAACATGTGGCTACTCCCTATGTAGTCGAACGCTTCCTTAATCTCAAGCTTATTCCGTTCTAGTTATATGCCACTAACCCCATTGAACAACGAATAAAGCAAATACTTGTTAGAATTAGAACTGGCGCTTTCAAAACTCTCGTAGTTATCTCCAATTCCTTTGGCTATAGCTAGCATAGTAATCAGAGATGTAACAACAGAAATGTCACCAAAAGAAACTTCAGGTATTAAACCAAAACTGTCCAGCTGCAATGTAAGTGTGTGGATTTTCAACTTATTCAGTTCAACTAACTCTCGCAGCAAGTAGAAGGTAGTGACTATTAGATTGGTTCTGTTCAATCGTTCTTTTATTGGGCGGCAGCAATGCTACGATACTTCTTCCACTCAAGCTATGACACAACCCAGATCTTTAACATGTATTATAGAATACGGAACAGTTTCTATCATACCTATCGTCGATATTCAAATCCAAAACGCGTGAATTAGGCTGACTTCTTCTATAGCAAATCTCAGACGATCCGGCGGCCATATTACGTAGAGAGAAAGAAACAGCACATAGGGGGAAAGATGTGGTTGAAGAATCATTTGGCTTGTTGAACAAATCATAACACTAAAGAGTTTCTTTGTGGAACCATAAGTAAAGACTTTTAAAACCTTTTCAATCGAAGCAATATCAGTGCTGTTTGATAAGAACAAAATTTGCTTGTCCCAGTCCAAATATCGTAATCCTTGAGGAATCACAGCCGCTTCATTCCATACGTTTTTCTCACAACCATCCTTATAAAAACCTGGAAATACGTGTTATGAATATATTGATAAAACAACAAACTAGTCTGTTCGTTTGGACAAATACTATCGTGGGAGTTATGAACTTGAGAATCTATGGGTAGATCTTCCTTTTTCGTCAAAATTATTCCTTTAACACAATCTGTTCGCCGTAACACCTCGATGGTTGTCCTGAAATTTCGAACTAGTTCAATACGAAGAGCAACAAACCTGTCGAAAAGAAATAGATCTATCATAATATAGAAGGAACCATCGTATTCTGGGAATCGATCTCTGCAAGTTCAGAATATGAACAATTTTTATCAAAATTTAACCTCCAGCAAGTTTTAATTTTTGATACATCTTCATCTGTCTTAAGAACAATAACAACACCGCTACCGTCTTGCTTCGTTGCTGAAATTGATTAGTTAAGTTCAATAAATGGAAAATTACTGACTGTGACATCCAAACTGATGAGTACCGTTCAACAAACGATAGCAAGCAGACCCAGTTTGAACAGCAATTTTATGATATATATCTTGTGAAACCACTGAGTGCACAGCTCCTTAAGAAAATGTAGCTAATGCTAAACGGTTTTCAACTAACCAATGAGAGCGAAAAGCAGAACCAATCTCCTCATGAAAATAATGCGTATCAATACGATAGCATTTAACCCTTGTTAGTTTAGATTTGATTTTATGACTAGATGAGATTAGTAATTAATACAAAGGAACGAGCCTCAGATGCTAGTGGAAGAGTACGCAATTTGTGCGTAGTGTAATTCGAAAAATTTCAATTTTTTGTCCTATGCTCTTCCTTATTAAAATTATTCCGAACCAATTTTTATTCTTACACCGTATGTACCCAAAACGACAACTGAGCAAGGAAGAAAAACCCTACAACAATTTCGACATGAATCTCTACC